CTATAATGCCAAAATTAATTGGGTTTGTCAAAATCAAATTCAATTCCTTAAACTGAAATGTTTTATAGGTTCCACGTTACGTTTTTGGTAACATATATTAATAATGGAAGAATTTGTTAGAAAATAACTATCTTCGTTGCTTGTCCTTCCACGTTCATAACAAAAAATAATACCTAAAATACCAAAATTTTTGGGGGTTTTGAAAACCAAAAATCAAGATCTTTTATTGGATCCTTTCAACTGAGATGTTGAATGGATAATCTTGAACTAATTAAAAACAATTAAAAAATTATTACAAGAATAATTGTGATGATCACAACTCTTGTGGGAATTTAATGTCGTGGAATATGTAGGGTTTTTTGAGAAGATGGGATCATGCTTTGTACTAATGCAAAACAAAACAAAAGAAGACTAAGACCATCTAAAATCGGATGAAAATACAAGACTAGATAAAAAAATTTAACATTTCTGTTTATTGAGGAAATTGAAGTTAAAGAAATATTTTTATGCCTGAATTTAGAAGATAACTTAATAGCTCTTCAATGTCGTAATACAAAATAAAATAGTTCCCAATATAATAATTAAGCAAATATTTTTAAATAACATTATACATTATCAAATGCGTAAATCTAACACTGCTCAAAAGAGTTGTAGAAGTCAATAGATCTAAACATTTCACACGTGTCGCGATCTTGTTTATAATTTTATGTCTCAGAGATATTTTTGTCGAAGAATTGACTATAATTACAACACTTTCTTTCGCTATTCTAAATTAAAAACCTTGAACTTCAACGCTGTGATCGGTCCAATGTTTTCATATTGTTTAAAGTGTTGGCATTTGATTTCAACAATAATCTCTCCAATTACAATTTGTTAGAAATAATCAAATCTAGACTAACATATAATTTCAAATGAGAAGCAATTATTTCTATTTATTATTGTTCTACACATCCACTGAGGGGAAAAAATTATTATTTATAAATTGTGTAGCTGAAAGAACGCCATTTGATGTGAAATATAAACGAATACTTGTGAAATGTTATATCTTATCGAGTTTTGCATGTACACACATATAGATAAAATATATACATTTCATAAAAAACAATGACTCAGTATTTTGATGCTTTTATATAGCTCTAGTGAGTATTTAGTTTACCTCTGCTTCATCTAGAAAAACATGATTCTTTTGAAAACAAGTTTCTGAACTTCACATAAAAATAGACTTCTTCTATTGCTTACATGTGCACACTTCTTCCCAAATTTCATTGAGAAATCTTTAAAAATGCTAACTAAATTTAAGGTGGAACTGGCATTTAAATAAATGCTTAAAATAAATATCAAAAAAATAATATATAAATATACAACAAATAATCTTAACGAAAAAAAAGATTATTTTCTTTGACTTAACTTCAATGTGGGGAACTCCCTCCTAACATTGTATCGAAAAAGTATTTATTTATTTAAATAAATATTTTTTTATGACTAATAAATAAATTGTACATATTTATAAATAATATTTATAACAAATATAATTAAACAACAATTTTTAATGCACCGTAGTTATGCTAGGCATTTCAGAAAAGGCGTGCTCTAAACCGATTAAACTTCTAAAGTAGTTCACTATAGTGAACCATTGATTCCATTCATTATTTTTTTTTCAAATGTAGGTAATATCAAAATTACTTTCTTAAAATTGCTTATCAATGAAGGGAGTGAAGAAAATGTTATATAATGGCTTCAACTATATATCCTACCAACAACTTATTTCCTAATTTTGTTAGCTTAAACTATAATATAATTAGTTATTATTAGTTATAAATTTACCATGCAACAGATGAGACCTATTGGAGTTTCTCCGTTCGTAGAGAATTTGGTATGTTTCAAAATACAATAAGAAAAATATTGACAAGAGGTTTGTTGTGGCAGTCCTAGAGAGATTCTCCTTTTCTAAACCGAAAAGATATTAAAATGTAGAAGATATTAAAAACTAAATAATATTAAAACCTAAAATATATTAAAATCTAAAAGACATTAAAACTTAAAAGATATTAAAACTTAATAAAAGTTACAATATCTTTCGCTTGGAGCAATTTTCTAGATCCGCCTATCGGTGAGAGTCTACTGTACTGACTGAACTCGTCTATTATTTACAGATTATGTGCCAAAAACAATGATTGATATTTTATTCTGTAGTTTACAAAGTGTACAAGTAGTAGCATCCTTTAGTTCCATTGTTCCAGACCCAGTCCATTCGTAATTAACTACTTAAAAAAGTAGTAATAAATTTATATTGATATCTACATTTATCGATTTTTTTTATATTTTTATTGACAATTTAGACCTTTTTTATTGGTAAGTTCATAAGTATATTATTTTTAATGTGCCTTACTATTATTGCAGTCTCATAAATAAAGAATTAATTTCGATTCTGCAAGGCTCGTGTTAATGCATATATAGTCCTTTACAAGTTTCTCAATTGTTTGTAGGAGAATCCATATGAGTATTACCTTAATTTATTCGTATTATATATTAAAGATTAAAGTGTATTTGTTGCATGACTTTTTGGATATAGAATAATCTTGTCTCTTTTATATATAAGTTGCAATTTATATTCATCTCTTATATTTCTTATATCAGTTCAACGTTTTTGTACTCATAATTTGCATAGAATTGCATAAAATTCTGTATTGATTTGGTTAGGTACCATATATATACATATTATTGGAGAGTACTATATATTATTGGTTCGTCTGTTATGGTTTTCAATCAAGGTTATGAATTACTTAAATTTCTTTAATGGCTTTTATACAAATTTTCTTGGTTTATTTTTTTTTTTAAAGCGAATGGTTCAGTTCAGTCAAAAAGTCGGAGCTTTCGGTTCAAAATCCGTTTAGTTCAAAATCCATTTATATCTCCTTTTAAACAACTGAAAGATTAACAGATGTACATTAACAGATGTGTATTTAAAGTTCTTACTCTGCTTGTTTTTTCTTCTTCTTTCTGAAATCATATGTCTGAGTAATCGTTTTCGGTTTCATATTTTTTTCTGTGCTATATCATAAACTATGGCTGGCATATACTTAAACAAAAATTTTGATTAAAATATGGAGCTGCAATTAATTAAACGAACATACCTGTCTTAAGATCAGTCTTCTGATGAGTCAATTCGGCCTGAGCATGACAAAACCCCACGAGTTCAGTTTTTTTTTGGAAATTGTTTATTATTTTACAGTTATTGTTATGCAAAAACTTTATTTAAATTAATATTAGTCATTTTGTAGAATTTCTGATTTAACTAAAAACACCTAAGAGAAATTTTGTTTTTTATGAGTCTGCCTTATGTGAAAAGGTAATCTTTTATTTTGTTTTATTTAACTATTAAAATGTCTTTTAAGCTTTGGCTAAAAATATCGCAACAGGTTTTTTTTAATAAGTTTACTAATGTTTACTATTATTTTAGCAATAGTTTTTTTTTTTTGCACAAAAGATCAACTATGGTCGCAGTACTCCGCTCCGTTGGGAGTCGTACTCAGTTATTTTCTAGTAATAGTTTTTTTATAAAAGCATTAAGTTTTAAAAGATAGCTGTTCCAGAGCTGGACATTGGCACAATATAAGCTGTCTTCTTTACTAGACATAGTTTTCAAGTGTCTTCTTTAACAAAAGTTCAATTCGTCTTTAACTGCAATCGCTACGAACTATCTTCTTTATGTTTGGCACTACAGTCCAGTGTAAACCATGGCCTCCTTGAAAGTTGCGTAGCGTGTGGATTTTTTTCCGATGCGAGGCTGCTAACCTAGCGATCAACCTTCAACTTGGAGGACCAGATATGTTCTGTTTTAATCAATAGAAAGGT